CACTGTCGTGCGTAATGACGCATGGTCAGTGTAAACAATGAAGGGTCTATCTCCTAATAGATAGACTCTGAACTTCGCGAGTGCATACTTCATGGCAAGGAGTTTCTTGTCATGCACTGGATAGTTCCGCTCAGCTGGTTGCAGCTGACGCGACTGATAGCAGACGACGCGTTCAACGCCTTCAAGATCGTACTGCATTAATGCACAGCCGATTGCAAAATCGCTGGCATCACAGACCACATGAAATGGCATGTCCTGATCGGCTATTGCTAGGACTGGGGATTGTATCAAGCTCTGCTTGATACCATCAAAGGAGCGCTGACATTCAGCGTTCCATAACCACCTCTCGTTCATTTTCAACAAACGAGAGAGGTGTACAGTCATCTCGGCGTAATTGCGTGAATACTTATGCAAATACGCCGCTAGCCCAAGGAATTTTCGAAGACCTTTGACATCAACCGGCACAGGCCAGTCGGTGATCGCCTTGATCTTTTCGGGATCAGGACGTACACCGTTCTTACCAACGATGCACCCAAGAAGTGGTATTTCGCTTGCTGCAAATGTACACTTCTTGAGGTTGGCATACAATTGATGCTTTCGCGTGACTGTAAGAACCTGTCGGACGTGGTACCTGTGAACCTCAACGTCCGACTTTCCATCCACAGCTCGACTATGGATGAATACGTCATCGAAATAACTCGGCGCGAATTCTCGTACTGGTCTCAACAGATGTGATACACATCTGTTGAACGTGGCAGGGGCATTACTGAGCCCTTGTGGCATTACTAGCCATTCCCAGAGCATGCCGCTAGGCGTGCTAACTGCGGTATAGGGTATATCCCGTTCTCGCATAAGGATTTGATAGAAGCCATCCATCAAATCCATGGACGAAAAGATGGTACTCTTTGACATACCATCAATGATTACGTCCTTCCTTGGTATCGGCGTCTGAGCCGGTACCGTTGCAGCATTCAACTTGTTAAATGCATGCACTATCCGCCACCCTCCTGTTGCTTTTCGCACACAGAAGGTCGGAGAGCTATGTGGGGAAGTTGATTCCCTCACATGGCCCGCAGCTAAACGATCGGCAAAGAACTTGTCGATCGCAAGTACTTGTTCGCGAGGCAGTGGGCACTGCTTCATGACACAGTACTTCGAGCCTGGTTTAAGCTCGACCTCGTGTCGAATACCTTTATCCTTCGGTAATTCGCACGGAACAGTTTCAGGGAATACATCCTTGAATTCAACCAAATCTTCATAGAGAGGATTTTTCTTGAGCGATTCCCACGATTGGGAGTCATATCGCTCAATTCGTGTCTTTTCATCGAGGACACTCTCGTCCATAGATGAACTACTGAGAACTCTCTCGTTCTCAGTAAACACTGTTGCTGACCTTATGTCGGTTACACACTCGTCGTCAGCGACGAGTACGCAGATCTGCTTGACTTTGCCACTACGCAGATCACGCAAGAACCTTTTATGTTCGAGCGTTGGCAACTGAGTGATCTCCGAAGTCAACTTCGGAGGCGCAATCAGATCAAGTGTATAAGCGCCTAAACTTGATCCGTCATTGACTAGGACATTCAATGTCTCTGTCATTTCCTGGGGACTTATTCCCTCAGGCCTCGAAGGACTTATTCCTTCGGCTTCCCGGGGACTTATTCCCGCGGGTTTCGGGGAACTTATTTCCGCCGTATTTGTAATCTTGGGACTTATTCCCTTTACTTCCTCTAGCTGGGGTTGCGCAACCACAGCGAGATCCTCTACGAAAGACTCTCCAGTCGATCTAGGATTATCGTTTCGCTTAACCTGAGCGATCGATTGTTTCTCTTCTAGATGTTCCCCGCTAGGGATACATCTTTGTCCCGGTCCACTCGACTTATTCGAGTGGTGGACCTTCGGCGCAGCCTGTGTTTCCTCACAGCCGCCGGAATCTTGCTCCGAAGTATAACCGTTTGGTACACTAAGGTTTTGTGCAGTCGTACTAACGACCGTACCACAAGTGAGGCCATCGCACTCACTCGTAGTACATCCACACACACGCTTGTGGACGCTCCAAAACGTTCATCAGATGGCCATCTGATGAACAAGCGGCAGGCATTGTTACTGTTCGATGTTGCCAGTTTACTCGTGGTTCGTACCTTCTGAGCCACGGTATTCCAAGGATGACATCAAATTTTTCATCCAAATCCAATACGATATAGTCATCGTCATATTGGGTATCTTCTAGCGTATAGTGGATCTTCACTATACGCTTCATGACGGTTACGGATGCGCCTGTCGCAAGACGTACCGTCATCCTCGTAGGAGGTGTGTCACATTCACTGAACTTAAAGTGACCATCTTCTAGCGATTGGCGTTGCACAAAATTGTTGGACGCCCCACAATCGACTAGAGCTCGAAGGGACAACTTATTTGTCACTTCGAGTTTCAAGGTAATGAGTGAGGTCTCATTACCTAGAGCAGCAACGCACAATGTTTGTGTGTTGGGAGCAACCTTCATCAAGAGGCCTACAAATTCTCTTGACGTTGCTGGACCAGTAGGGTGCTCCGCACCTACTGATCCTGTCCGTTTTTTGACGGTCCATCCCGTTGTTGCATCTTTGCACCAACTGCGGACCCTCGTCCCTGCCCCTTTCTCATGGGTGGACGGTCACTACGCCCAGTGTCGCGAGACACTGGACGAGGGGCACTACACTCGTAAGCGTAGTGTCCTGTCTTTTGACATCTGTTGCATCTCTGCAACTTCTTGTAGCCTGTAGAGCGAGCCTTCTCGCTCTCTACATAACAGAGTTCCATCGGCTCTGGACCTCCGTTGTCATATCGTCTCGGTTGACGATATGATGTCGAGCTGGCGCGAGCCTGTCTCAGACTGAAGTCTTCCTGTTCCGCAATGGAAATTGCTTGTTCTAGTGAATCTAGCTCGAGTCGGAACAGGTGAGTCTTGACGGGACCATCCGCAAGACCCTGCATGAACACCGAAGCCAACGTGTGTTCATCCACCGGGTTGGAACTTATACAACTCGTGAGATGTCGTATATGTTGCGCGTAAGCGTGCACATCACGCTTACCCTGCTTGAGCTTCAAGAGTTCGGTTCGAGCTCTGAACTCAGCTCTAGGCGGTTCAAACGTTTGTCTGAGCCGCGACTTGAAGACTTCCAACGACCCAAACGCATATGGGTCGTGCAACTTGAGCCCCAGTGCCCAAGTCTTGGCACGTCCTGCCAGATTTGACTGGGCAAATGCAACTTGCATATCCCCATCGTCGATGCGACGCGCCCTTATGGGGTCATCCAATTCGACGAACCATCTCAAGAGGGAGTCCTCTTCGACTCCCCTATACTTGGAGATGTCAATCTTCAAAGTCTCGGGTCGACGCGAGTGCATCGACCCACCAGCAGCAGCCTGCTGCTGTCTCAACAGTTCAAGCTGTTGAGCACCCTGTTCTCTCAACAACTCTGCTTGTTGAGAACCTTGTTGGTGAAGCAAGGCTACTTTCTTACGTTCTGCGTCAAGTTCATTTTGAATGAACTTGGCGAAAGTAGCATGTTGGGCATCTCTATTGAGAGCCTCTAGCATGACGCTAACAGCATGGATGCCCATGGTTGAACCCATTCGTTCAACCGCATCCCATTCGACATCGCTCAAATGGGAGTAGCCGTCACGCGTAGCGTGAAAGCTTTGGTCATCTTCATCATCCAACATATTCATGTTGGATGTGAACGCGGTCCTTGGACGGACTACGAAGTGCTACCAGGTGTTACGGGGCACCCTGAAGCTTGTACTGGTGACAGTACAAGCTACTTATTCTGATGACAGAATAAGGCGGTGCCTCGGAACTTCACGTACACTCGTACGTGCAGAGGAAGACGGTAAGGAGAAGCGAGTACTTGGTTAAAGTAAAAAGTAGAACTGTATTTATAATAGTTAATGTCTGCAATAAATCACTATTTATCTTCATCTAACTATGTCTTCGTTGGTTGATATAATGGCCTATATCAACCAATTAGGAACTACTCGTAAGTGCTACAGCATATTTTTCCTGATGACAATATTCTAAGAATATAACTCTTATAGTTATATTCTATTAACAATTCCTTATAAATTGTTATGTAACGATTCACCCCGTTACAACTACAGTATGAATGGGTAAGTACGTGTTGTAGAAGGGTGCTCATGGGTCTTGAGTGTTGGTAAACTCACTAAGTGTAAAATGCAGGACATTTGCACGTCGAGGTGTCAAATTTTTACTACCATTTTAAGATCTGGTGCGACATCATGGTTTGTAGTTCTGATTCCGCCGTCCTACTTGCCGCGTCCGTTGCGCGATGCACTCGTCACGGTGTATTTGAACAGCGCTTCCCTTCCAGTGAGCTTATTGGCGTCGTGCCATGCGCACGGAGATTTTCGAGCAACGCTGTGCACTAACCACATTGGATTTCTGGTTTTTGAGCATGCGCGGCAATTCCTTACATGCTAGAAACGGTTTCTGGGACCTGATTACAAAACCTCTACGATTATCATGCTGACCATCGAGTGCAGTGGATGCAAGAACCGTGTCTCGTGCTCACATGTCGAGTCAACGTGACTTAAGTGTAGGATATGCTGGGCCATAATGGGACCGATGGCAACAGTACAGTATTGGAATTTGCCGGTCATGTCAAGAGTACCGATATGGCAAAATTGTTGTAAAAGAAGCGACTCGGCATGCAAACGGCAACCACAAGAATGTACGTGCAGACAATTAGTAATGCGCGACGTAGCGATTAGTAATGCGCGACATAGCGATTACTAATACGCGACTACACGATTAGTAATGCGCGACATAGCGATTACTGATACGCGACTACACGATTAGTAATGCGCGATACAGCGATTACGATTGTGTTGTTGAAAGAATCCAGTAGGCTTAGACTAGCAAAAGAGATTGCGAACTAAGGACCTAAATATATTCACTTTGCATTTTGCTTTCTACAACCCAAGTGCTTTTTCAACAGGTTATGAGCCCAAGCTCTGCTGACTCTGCCCCCGACGCCGACTTTGCCTTCAACATGGACGCTGCCACCGCCACCAACGCTCGCATCAACAAGTTTGATGGTACGAACTTCCACACTTGGAAGTTCAAAATGCAGATGGTGCTGGAGGAGCGGGACCTTTGGGAAGTGACAAGCGGGGAGATCAAGCTGGAACACCTTGCCACTACGCTGGATCAGTCAACGTTCAAGCGCAAGTCACGGAAGGCGCTCGCGATAATCTGTCTTGCGATGGAGGACTCGCAGCTGCCCCTGGTTCGGTCGGCAAGTGGAGCGTACGATGCATGGTCGCGGCTGGAAGGCCACTTTGAGAAGAAGAGCTTAGCCAACAAGCTCTTTCTTCGTCGCCGTTTCTTCACGGCCAAGATGGAGGAAGGCGATGATGTGCTTTCGCACATTAACAAGATAAAGACACTGGCGGAACAACTCGACGCGGTGGGTGCTCCGGTCAGCGAAGACGACCTGGTGATCACGCTTCTTGGAAGCTTAAGTGAGTCGTTTGCATTTCTCATTACTGCTTTGGAGTCAAGGGCCGACTCGCTGTCGTGGGAACTGGTGACATCCAGGCTGCTACATGAAGACATGAAGCGCAAGGAGCAAGGCAGTGACGGGGTCGCTGCAGGTCAAGCGTTCATGACAGGTGAGAAGAAGCGTAGTGGACGGCCATTCAAGAAGACTGGCGCGTGCAACTACTGCGGTAAGATGGGTCATTGGATCGCGGAATGTACCTCGCGGATCCATGACAACGCGGACCGGCAGCGTCCGCAGCGTGCGAATGTGGCGCACAACCAAGATAAAAACTTGAACGATTTCCTGTTTGCAGCTGGATTGGAGAGCAACGACGACGACAGCGTCAAGAATCCAGCATGGCTCATAGACTCTGGTGCGACGCAGCACATGTCATTCTCAAAGCGGTTTATGACAAACTACAAGACCATCGATCCAGTTAACGTTCATCTCGCAGACGACGGGGTCGTGCAGGCGATTGGGACCGGCAACGTAGTGATGATGATGAAGACACCAAGTGGTGCCAAGAAGGGTGTGCTTACGAATGTGTGGCACATTCCAAAGCTACCACGCAATCTGTTCTCAGTTGGCCGATTCACCAAGGATGTCGCGACAGTGACGTTTGATACGAGCACCTGTTATGCAAATTTCAAGAACCAGAAGTGGAAGATCGGCGAGCGTGCCGGCAAAGGTCTCTATAAACTATGCATGACACCTGTGCAAGTCGAGAGCGCGAGCATCGCAAGTGAATCCAACAAGCCTCAGATGAGCAAGTCATACTTGTGGCATCTGCGTCTTGGTCACATTGGCCATCGTGGACTCGACGCGATCGTGAAGCAGAATCTCGGTGTCGGCATCGACATTACATCTGTGGGCAAGTGGGAGCTTTGCAACGGATGCGCGCTCGGAAATCAGACGCGAGTGAGTTTTCAGTCAACTACACGTAAACCAGCCAAGGACCTGCTTGACGTCGTGCATTCCGATGTATGTGGACCAATGCAGACTTCGACATTTTCCAACAAGCGCTATTTTGTGACGTTCATCGACGACAAGTCGCGGTTTTGTACTGTGTACCTAATTCACAGCAAGTCTGAAGTGTTAGACAAATTCATGCAGTTCACCAAGTTTGCCGAGACTCAGACCGGTCGTCGCATCAAGATGCTCCGCAGCGATAACGGTGGAGAATATGTGTCCAACAAGTTCGCCGCGTTCTGTCGCAACAAAGGCATCATACAGCAATTTACGCCGCCGTACACCCCACAACTTAACGGAGTGGCGGAGCGAATGAACAGGACTCTAGTCGAGAGTGCTAGATGCATGATTGAGCATGCGGGACTAAGCAAGCGCTACTGGGGCGAAGCAGTGTCAACGGCAGCGTTCCTACGCAATCGATGTCCAACGCAAGCAATTGGCCATGAAAAGTCCCCGCACGAGGTATGGACGAAGACGAAGCCGTTGTTGAAAAACCTGAAAGTCTTTGGATGTCACGCATATGTGCATGTGCCGAAAGAGAAGAGGTCGAAGCTTGATGCGCGATCGACGTTGTGTCGCTTCTTGGGCTACTCAGACCACGAAAAGGCGTACCGGTTTGAAGAGATATCAAGCAGTCGCATTCTAGTGAGTCGCGACGCCCAATTCATGGAAGACATGTTCGACAGCATGAAGTACATGCAACAAATTGGCATCGACCCTATCGAGTATCATAACACTGATGAAGGCTTCAACGACCGTGACAACGGGGTTGCCAATGAAGACATGGATGCGCATATGCCCGAATCAGCATCGATCCATGAGCGGCCACAATGGCAACAAATGCGGCGTTCAAGTCATCAACCGCAGTATATGCAGCCGCAGACAGACGAGTTTCTACCGGGGTCGAAAAGACATGTACGCACACAGTCACTAGAAGCTTTGTCAGAGCCACCAGTGGAAAAACGCTATGGACGCGGGACTAGTACAAGTGGTGTGCACACATCGTCAGTGCAAGGAACTGCGTCACCACTCGAAGCCATGTCGGCGCTTCTCGCATCTATTGATGAAGAAAAAGAAGAAGAACATGAAGAAGACTGTGCTAACGTCGTGGATTCAGTGGGAGAAGTGCCGATGACATTCTCATCGGCTATGGAATCCGATGATGCAAGAAAGTGGCGAGAAGCGTGCGAATCAGAGTTTCAGTCATTGTGCAAGAACAACACGTGGGAACTCGTGCCGTTACCAAGTGATCGCAAGGCGATCAGCAGCAAGTGGGTGTTCAAGGTGAAGGAGACTGTTGATGGACTCATCGAGCGATACAAAGCGCGCCTCGTGGCAAAAGGATTTTTGCAAAAGTACGGTGTGGACTTCGAGGAGACGTTCGCACCAGTGGCCAAGTTCGCGTCGATCCGGATCATTGTGAGCCTCGCCGCGCAGCACAACCTCGTACTTCACCAGATGGACGTCAAAACGGCGTTTCTTAACGGTATGCTTAAAGAAGAGATCTACATGAAGCAGCCTGACGGATTCGTTGATGCCAATCATTCTCACCATGTGTGCAAGCTCAAGCGTGCGTTGTACGGACTCAAGCAATCCCCTCGTATGTGGAACCAGACTATTGATGAGTTCATGCGCAATATTGGCTTCACCAAGTGCGAGATGGATCACTGTGTCTACTCCAAGCGTGACGACAAGATCATGATGTTTGTTGTCATATACGTCGACGACCTCATCCTTGTGTGCAACAACATGGACATCCTCGCAGCCACCAAACGTGCATTGAGCGAGCGATTCGAGATGTCCGATCTCGGTGAGCTTAAGTACTGCCTCGGAATAGAAGTCGAGCGCGATGACAAGTCAGGCTATGTATCGATGAAACAGACTAAGTTCTTGCGATCGATTCTGACCAAGTTCGGTATGCAAGACTCTAAGCCTGTTAAGACACCGCAAGATCCCGGACTGAAGTTGACTAAGCGCATGTGCAAAGATGGATGCAAGCACAACTACACCATGCAAGGAGTGCCATACCGAAGTGCCGTCGGAGCCTTGATGTACCTCATGGTAGGCACGCGTCCAGACCTCGCAGCTTCAGTGGGAGTGCTCAGCCAGTTTGCTGCTGACCCGTGTCCGACACACTGGCAAGCACTCAAGCGCGTGCTACGGTACCTGCAAGCGACTCCTACACTTGGTATTCGTTTTATTGGCGCTGGCAATGGCAAATTGCTTGGCTATTCCGATGCCGACTGGGCTGGAGATATTGATACTAGACGAAGTACCAGCGGCTACGTATTTGTGCTAAACAACGGCTGCATCAGCTGGCGTAGCAAGAAACAGCGCAGCGTGGCACTCTCGTCTACCGAAGCAGAGTACATGGCACTGTCGGAGGCGACCCAAGAAGCGACGTGGCTCAAGACGTTCATGCGTGAGCTCGGCGAAGAAGCAGGCGATGACGCTCTAACTATCTATGAAGACAATCAAGGTGCTATTGCGTTGGCCAAGAACCCCGAGTTCCACAAGCGCACCAAGCACATCGACATTCGCTACCACTTCGTGCGTGAGAAGGTCGAAAAGAATCAAGTCGTGCTACAGTACTGCCCGACACAAGACATGCTGGCTGACATCATGACCAAGGCAATCGCAGCGCCACAGTTTACCATCCTCCGTACTAAACTCGGCATCACTGTCGGTGTCGCTACCGAGTCGAGTGGGAGTGTTGTAAAAGAAGCGACTCGGCATGCAAACGGCAACCACAAGAATGTACGTGCAGACAATTAGTAATGCACGACGTAGCGATTAGTAATGCGCGACATAGCGATTACTAATACGCGACTACACGATTAGTAATGCGCGACATAGCGATTACTAATACGCGACTACACGATTAGTAATGCGCGATACAGCGATTACGATTGTGTTGTTGAAAGAATCCAGTAGGCTTAGACTAGCAAAAGAGATTGCGAACTAAGGACCTAAATATGTTCACTTTGCATTTTGCTTTCTACAACCCAAGTGCTTTTTCAACAAAAATATGATACAAAGCAGCGTCATATTGTTATCGTGGAGAGTATCATAGCCATTTCTCTGGAAATGCGTGCATTTGATGGGTTCTTGGCAACTCGCCAGGACAAACGTGGCTTTGTCATCCTTGTGCGAGTTGGCGTTATTCTTGGGTCAAAACGAGACTACCACCACCATCGGCGACTACATTATCGGGCTCACGAAGGAGATCAACCGCGCCGGTACACCCCACCCGAATTTGTTGTAGTATAATTTTGAGAAACGAAAAAGATTACCTGCGCTGATCGATTCGTTTTCGTGTGAATGTGTGACACATGGAGGGTTTTCATTGCCCCATATGGAGCACACGATTGCACAGCACTGAAATGTTGAAAGCTAGTCGATGGACTCTACGGATTAGAGCTCCAAGGTGGCACTACTGATGTCGATTTGCAAGACCGTTAATTGTGTCCCGATGTTTCCGACTTTGGTGCCTCTTGCCGCGTTTGTGTGGTAGTTTGACTGTATGTTTGTGGAAAGAAAATGATGTGGCTGATGCGGTTACCAGAGTCTGAGACAAAATACTACGAAAGTAGAGGAGGTTCCACGTGAACTAACGATTTCCAACAAGAAGGTCTGATGCGGTAACTTGGGGTCAGCATATCTTCTCCGACGTATTCGCTGTGACTAAGGAGATAGAAGACGGTACTTTAGCTGAAGCCGTTCGAGTCGATTTGGGTACGGCTTCCGTGTCATACGCTTTTAATCGGTCGATGGACTTGTATAGAAATACACGAGGACAATGCACCGGACCTCTTTTTGATTGTCGCGGAACCTTTCGAGCTCCACTGCCTATATTTTTGCTAACGAGGACGCGCAGTTCTTACCTTAGGACGATGTGCTGACCAATTTTCTGACAGCTTTGGTGCCAGTGACTGGTCAGGTGGAGATTGTGAAGACCAATGTTCAATGCGATAAAGCTAGGAAGCCAGGCAATAAAGCTTGGAATCCAGTTTCCAGCGAGATCAACGATTTGATCTGTACGCTATGCGCTGACCATGATAGTGTTAAGTTTATCACGAGCACTGCACATTGTGCTGTGCTCGATGAATAGTTCGGGAACACCTCGAGTTTACATCCAATCGTGAGAAGCTGGTCGTACGTTCGACAAGCTGGCAAGAGTCGCTGGGAGTCTGTGCGCGATAAGGACGAGCACACATTTGACTGGAAATGATGAGGTCAGAAACGTGATACAAGCCTCTATAGGGCGACAAACGTTTCTTCCCTTGCAGAGAGGGCTGCATCCTTGTTGTACAACTACCAGAACCGCAATCAAAATTATGGAGAGATTTAGTCCTCAGAGCTTTGTGCCCTACTTGCAAGAATGTGAAGGTGTCATCGTGCACCTATCATGTCGATGATGAAAATCCACAATTCGATTAGAAAGCAGAGGGGTGAAGTAACTATTTACCACGCGAAATGATACATGGAGCTGCAACAATTTCGAGTCAGGAAGGCTACGCTAGTCTCGTTGATCCTACATGTAACGGGGCACCCTTAAGCTTATACTGGTAACAGTACAAGCTACTTATTCTGATGACAGAATGAGGCCGTGTCTCGGAACTTCACGTACACTGGTACGTGCAGAGGAAGACGGTAAGAAGAAGCGAGTACTTGGTTAAAGTAAAAAGTAGAACTGTATTTATAATAGTTAATGTCTGCAATAAATCACTATTTATCTTCATCTAACTATGTCTAAATACAAATGTGTAAATCAACTATCTGCTCACCACTCATTGCGTGCGTCTGTCGTGGCGCGTCTTCGTTGGTTGATATAATGGCCTATATCAACCAATTAGGAACTACTCGTAAGTGCTACAGAATATTTGTCCTTATGACAATATTCTGAGAATATAACTCTTATAGTTATATTCTATTAACAATTTCTTATAAATTGTTATGTAATGATTCACCCCGTTACATCACCTCCCCCCCCCTTAACCATCAGTCACTTTAGTGACTGATTGACTAAATGGATACTCGTCCCAAGTCATTTGGGACAGGGTTTGCACTTGTTGGTCCGAGTCCACTTCCCAACATTTCATCGCATGGTTAACAAGCCCATGCGATGCGCGAGCAAGGCCGCCGAGAGCGCGTCCGCACGTCTCTGTGCGGACGCCGAAGCAGAAACCACAGCAACTGATGTCTCATCGGTTGCTGAAGCGACCCAGTCTGTGTCACTTGGTGATGCAGGCGCTGGTCATGAAGACACTCATGTCTTCACAGAGTATGGGCTCGGTGTATCATACTCTCCTGATACGGAAGACGGATCCGTATCGACGGCTATCGAATCCAAGCCGCCTGCCAAGCGTGGCATGGACGATGCTTTGCGTCGTAGCATCTTTGGTTCATCTGATGAATTAGATGAACCATCGCCGAAGCGAAGGCGCTCGAGGTCGCGAGACTCGGGCGCTAACAGTGGTGTCGGTTCTCCTATGGACACCACTTCGCAACGAGGTGCCAGTACTTCTGTCGGCACATCGCAGGAAGAGCGTGACCGCAATGTCTTGCGTCTCGCTCCTGAGAAGAAGGCATGGATGCCTCCAAAATCAGTCATGGATCACTTGTCGTCGACGACGAGTGATCGTTATCGAACACGGTTGTTCGATTTGTCAAGGATCCATCACCTTGACCCCAGCGCGAAGAACTATCGCGCTGAGAATGAATTCTTCATCGATGCTTTCTTTAGGCATCGATGGTACAGTGGGAATCACAAGCGTGATGGTCCCTCCCTGCTTCAGGCGTGGAACGCCTACATCCATAACCTTGAGGATGTAGGTCGTGAAGTTTGGAACGACAAACTTATCAAAGCTCGTGATAAGTTTGAAAAGCGAACCCCGACAGGTGCACGCTACAAGCTGCATCGTCTGTCAAGGGAGAAAGGATTACCCTGCCTCTCATGGGGAGACTCGTGCCCATGTTGTGTGAACAACTCTGCACGAGCACCTAAGGAGGCTTACCTCCTTACCAGCCCGTGGTGGCGCGTACGTATCTCTACTGAGATGTACGAAGAGTTTGACAACCTGAAATCCCTTTACGACCGTGCCGGGAAGACTTTCTCCGGCGGTCCTTCTGCGGCACAGGATGTGCCGCGTCGTACTGCTCAACCAGACCCAGTACGTCAATCATTAGTTGGGAGCGGGGCTCCCAAGTATCCCAGGACGGGGGATAGCCGCGCCACCGGACGAGATAACTCGTCCGACGTCCGTTCACGTCGCGGTGGTTCAACAGATGCTCAACTAGATAGCGCTGGCCACCGCGAGAGTCCTCTAATGGAGGTGGACGAGGAGGAAAGACGCTCTCCACACTATCATGGGGATCCTTGTGTTCCCGAGAGCTTCTTTGATCGCGTAACGCAAGGGTTACGCAACGATCTCGAACATGAGCGGGACAGGCGTCTCCAAATGGCGGACACTGTCTTGAAGCATCGAGCTGAGTTTGACTTTGCTCAGCTTGAGAACGAGAGAGCTCTGACATCTCTTCGTGACGAGCTAAGAGTAGCTCGTGGGATTGTTGATCGGTCTCGGGATGAGATAAATGCTCTTCAGACCCTTGTCGATGTCCATCATCGGGAGCACAAGGCTCTCTGTAAGATGCGTGAG